AGGGGCGAAGGGCAAACTACTAGTTGTAATGACAAGCAACAATACAATAGGGTCACTCCACCACAGAGCCGGTCCTAATAAATTGTACGACTGGCGAGGCGAAATGAATAAATAGTGCTTCTATTGTTTTATTAAAAAAAAATCATAAATGATATATCGTATTCAAGGTTTTAAATAGTGGGCTAAAACGTTTATGATACTGTAACTATAGCGGAGCTATAGCGGAGATTAAGCGGGATTTAGCGGCTAAATTGCACATGAATATAAATAGCGGCACGCTGCCAAAAAAAGTTATTTCTCAAATAGCGACAACTTTAGCGAGCTATTTATTTCTTTGATCATATTATAAAAAAAATGAGATTATAACAAAATATAAAATTATAAAAAAAAATTGACAATAAGTAAAGAAATAAATAGGGATGAGCAAAATCGAGCCGAAATCGAAAAATTCAAACCAAACTGAGCTATTTGATGCGGTTTGGGTGTTGGTAAACCGCAAATATTTCGGTGCGGTTTGGTTTTCTGTTCGAATGGTGCGATTTTAACCGAATTGCACCGAATATCATAAAGTGGCACTTTAGTTTTACACTTTTACTTACACTAGAGCGTTATTCGTGCACAAGCTAGTATTATTAAAGTAATCATTTAGATTTAGAGGATTGGAATGACATAAAACACATGTATTGGAATAAAACAAAATATAACTTATATACATAGTTTTTAAACCCGGCCCGGGGATTGACCCGGGAAGGTCTCCGGGTCACCGGGTCACCGGTTCAACCGCCGGGTCACCGGGTCAATTGCTGAACCGGATAATTAATTTTAAAATTTTTAAAATTATATATATATAGTATTTTGTCATATAAATATACATAAAATAACAAAATTAAATGTTTTGTATGTAAAATTTGTATATTAAAGTGATAATAATATTTTTTTAATAATAAATATTTACCATATAAATATATATACATAGTTATTTTTAAAAAAATAAAAAAAAATAAAAAAATTTAAAATATATGTAGGGACCGGGTCAATCGGGTTGACCCGGCCGGGTCAATGCCCCGGGTCGACCGGGTCAAGACCGGGTTGACCGGGTTTTGACCGGGTTTGACCGGTTCATTTGTTATCCGGTCTAATTAGCACACCCGGACCGGTTCTGGCTCCGGGTCGACCGGGTCCCGGGTCGACCCGCCGGGCCGGTCCGGGTTGAAAAACACTGCTTATATATTATTAAAGACATCCTTGTATACAACATTATTTTTTTGGTCTTCTGGTGCATCGTATATCGCCACAAATTATATTAGGATTTTAGATAGGTTAAATAAATCAGTTAAATTATTTAGCAGGATATATACGATATTTTGTAAGTGTATGCAATCAATTTCAAATTTGTATTCTAGAAGATTAAACAAAATCCAAATTTTTAGATGTTTCAATCCGATTTCACTTTGAATTATTACCAGACTCTGTTTTATGTTAACAAAAAATTGAACTAAAAAAAAGTAGTAGCCAACTCATAAGAGATTTTTAATTTTAATTTTCAATTTGAAATTGGGCTCAATTTCTATGCAGTTCGGTTTTTTTTAATAAACATGACCGGTTGCAATTAAGTAAAGATACTTGTTATAGTATTTTTCCTAATTCGAAATTCTCGATTTTATGGTAAACATATTTCTTTAATAAAAAATGAGAGAATTTTTAATTTTATAAAATTGGCATGCCGAATTTTTACCTAAATTAACTTGATTTCTATGCAATACGATTTTTTAATAAAAAATTGATATTTTGCAGTTAGTAAAAAGATAAATGTGATAGTATTTTGCCTAATTCGAAATTCTTGATTTTATGGTAATCTATTTGTTTTTAATGAAAAATGAGAAAAAATTTGACTTTTGCAAAATCGTAAGCATCAATCGAAATTTACCTAAATCAAATCCACAGAACTATGGAATTTAGGATTCATATATAGCTGATCGAGTTTTGTAGGAATAATTAAAAAATTTAAAACTGCCAATAAAGAATACAATAAATGCTAATTGACTTTTCTTATTACTAATTTTGGTAAATGTGTTGTCTCTTTATATAGATATAGATATAGATATAGATATAGATTACGTACAAATTTGGACACAACATCACTTAAACGTTTACATTTAAAACTTAAAAGTAAAATTTATTATTTATATTCTTTCTTGACCTAATTTTCACTCTCAACATTAATTTGTGGTTGTCCTTTTTTACTTTCAGCTAACCGCAAAACCGCACGAACCAAACCGAAATTTTCGGTTTGATTTGGTTTTGTTAATCCTTCTATTGCGGTGCGGTTCGGTTAAAAATCTTAAATATTCCATTTTCAGATTTTTTCAGTGTGGCTCGGTCAAAAAAAGAACTGCACTGATGCTCACCCCTAGGAACAAGTCATGTTAAGTCCTTGTATAAGAAAAAAGATGACAAAATATAAACAAGGTTTTAATCCCATTTTAACTTTAACCATATTGTTAATTTTATTGTTCTCTTTTATTGCCAAAATACTAAATAATATTATTTTTAAAAAATATATATAATAAGCAAATAAACAACAATTTGAAACTGCATTTAAAATGGATAACTCGATGCCCCATAATGACCATCACTTATATAATAGCTATATGCACACAAGTAACATTTTTCATATTCAAGTAAGGAGTTAAAAGATATCTTTATTGATCGAAAGAAAAATGAGAGAAAAAAATGTATATAAATTTTTTTAATTTAATTATCAATTATTGTAAACTAATTTCATCATACAAAATGAAAACTCTATTTAGTTGTGTGAAAATTAAGGAAAAAATTAACTCATTTTAATCAATTACACTAAAATATTTTTTTTTTCTTTTTATTTTAAAAAAAATCTAATGGTTTGTGCCCTTTAGAAATTTTGGGCCCTGGGCAGTCGCCCCGCTCGCCCTGCCCCAGGGTCGGCTCTGCTCCACAAAGTGCGTATTTTTATACAAATTCAATCTTAACTACCAAACAACACAATTATCTTTAGAAAACTCTAATGGCAGTGTAGCGCTCTCTTACTTATCTTTCGAAAACTCTAAATTTTAACAAGTAATTTAATTTAAAATAAAATTTAACTTTTAATGTATGACCTTATACTCCTGCTTCGTATAATCTTGGTGATGCGATTAAACGAAATTCCCGGTCTCTCAATATGTGTAAAACTCAATTTTTGCTCTCCCCTAAGGACTAGAAAAATCTGCCAAACAACATTAGCAAGAGAGGTTGGAACATGGTGTGTTTATAGACTACATTAGGGACTTTAAAGAGGTGCTAAATATAGACTTTTCCAACTAGAGTTACGGAACCTTATATTCTCCAACTCATTTCCCTTCTAGAAGAGCTAATTTATTTCAACCCTAATTATCCCTTTTAGAAGACTCTCAAGTCTCATAACCTTTGGTAATATAATAGAAGGATTTTATTCTTCTAATTAGGTGAGGTCGTAAACGGATGTATGAAAACAACCAGAATACGCTTTACAAATAAATCAGTAAACAGAGAAAGGTTCATACAATTGCGGAAGCAGTGTTTCTTAAAATTGAACCTTCAGGAGAGTGTCTCACTCTCTCTTTGAATCTCTTTCATTAATGTAGATATCACACCCATTTCTCAAGGGTTTACAAGGAGACTTCTTCTACACTCGACTTGAGTAACGACCTACACAACTACTTATCCGATCAAAAGTCCCTTGTAGTTTTTCTAGTTCGAGTCCCTCAAACCGATCAAAGTTAACCTCCGAACACTCTGTTACAATTTAGAACACTACCTCAATCGTGATTAAGAAACCTTTCTTAATTTTAACATTCAAATAAAATAAACCACTCAACAAAATAGAGCACTCAAATATCACGATCTTCAATTCCTTTTGGAAAACGTAATCTGTTGCACTGTCTTTCATCCTTCACAGTAATTCACTTAAATTTGGATCCACATATGTTAAGTGAACCTTTTCTCGCTGCAAAGTCATGCTCTATAAGGTAAGTTCCTTATTTGATTATGTCGTCCCTATTTATGGAATATCCTACTCAGCTACTGAATCTTCTTCACAAGGAAAGTCCATATTAATCCTGCAAAATTAATACCCGTATTAATTTGTCTCAATTAACACTAATAAAATTACTCTAAGAAATATAAAGAAAACTTCCATTAATTATTCTTGTACGGCATATCCCTAGGAATAGATGAAGGTTCATCGATTTACTAACAATCTCCAAAAGTACTTACATTCTCCCCCTTTTGGCAGATAAATTGAAAACCCTTCTCAAGGAACCTGCATTAAACTCTCTACACAAAACACAAGAACAAAAGAAACTGAATATGCACATAATCACGTGTTGTTCATTTGAACAACCTCATACCCGTAGCCACTTAAACGATTAAAGATAAAATATAATCATGAAAAACAATTCATATTACTATAGATAATATCCTACAAAAATCAAAATGACGACTTCAACAAACAACCACAAAACACATCAAAAAGTTTTAGTTAAAAACAGAACATAATCAAATGTCCAACTAAAAGAGTCTAAGCAGACTCTTCTCCATCTTTAGTATATTCCTATGAACCTTCATCGGACCCTGCTTCAGTGACCTCCTCCGAATTAGCCCTTCTTCTTCATTTGACTCAACCTCTTCATCATCCAAAGCCTCAAAACCTTTAGTCTCAACAACCTTTTCTTTACCCTTGGCAGCTAATACAAGTGTAATGCTCCGACCGGCTGGAAATCGTCTCGAGCTCACTTTCCTTGCCGGTAGAACGCCGAGACCTGCACGAAACTCTCACACCGGAGGGATTTTCCAGTGAAGAGTCTCCAACGCTCAAGTCAGTCTTGAGAAGATGAAGAATATATGTCAAAGTATGTAAGTGTATATGAGATTCTATCTATAACAAGAGATCTCGTCCCTATTTATAGAGACGAGTTACCTGCCCTAGGAGCTGCCCGGGCGAGCTTAGTTGGCTGCCCTAACTACCCGGTCGTACGGTCGTCTGCCTTTACTACCTTGGTGTTAGAAATGCGTCAGAATGCGTCAGGGAATGTCAGATACCGTTATCGCCCTGGATCACTCATTGTGTGTCGCGTGTCCTCCGCTCGCGTGCTGGAGATTTCATTGGAGGCTCTAGTGTTCGACCACTTTTGGATGAGCTACTGGGTCATTCCATCAGTGTTGGATTCAACCACATTTGGGCAACCGCCCTCTGTTATGCTCGACCGTTTGGTGCTTCGACCAGCCCCTTTGTGCATCGGGATTTGTCAAGCCCTTATGGATCCGCTTATCTCCGACCTTGAGACCTTCATAGCTCGACGAGTATTTTCTTTGACCAGCTTGATCAACCTGGTTTATTCTGTTAGCCCGACGGACTGGTCTGGTACATATAATATCCCATATCAGCAGCAACATCAATCTCCTTGCCATTAGTCTTTGACCCCTTGGATCCTCCTTATGGTTTCTCCCCCTTAGCATCAACCAAATTTCTCTTCTCTCTCTTTTTTGATTTAGCTGGAAAGAGGGCATCTGTCTTCAGCGCACCAAGAACCTCCTTATAGTAACATCGCTGATCACCCAGCTTCTTTTCAAGAGAGGCTAGAACCGCCACTTTCTGAGTGAGAAAAGCACCAAGGCGGGAAGAAACTTCAGAGGCCTTGACTAAGGCTGGTAGACAAACGGTCGTCTTAGTAGTAGTAAAAAGAATTGGCTTAATGGACGAAGATAACACATCACCAACTTTGGGGTCCATCTTGACCCCAGCCTTGACCAGAATGGCATGTATGGTAGACGAATATGGGAGAAACTTGTATCAGCAAAGAACACAATGTTTTCGAAAATCACAGACACCCAGATCGAAAGGAATACCCCTGAGTATACGTAAAATAAACATAGATTGAATGGACGTCACAAATTGTTTGTGGTGGGTGTCCAGTTCAAAGACCCAATCTTCTGTAATTCATTGGCTTGCGGGGTGAGACTTTTTAACAACAATCCAGGGGGAAGCTATTTGTTGAGTTGTCCCCCCGTAAAAGCAAATGCCACTTCATCAAGATTTTTATTCAAGGACAGCAATGATGAACTCGCACCAAGACCCAAGACAAAACTGATAACCATGGGAGAGAACAGTACCACAATATTACGGATGAACACCTGCTGAAAGTTTAAAGAACCAGGATTTGACACAGACGATGAGAGGTTCGAATAAAACTCTGCAACCAACCTCGAGCAGAACTTACCAACAGATAGCACAGATTTATCCAAACTAACCCCTTTTAGAAAGTCCACAAGACCAAGTTTTTCAAAGTAAAAAGCAACAATAGATCGTTCAGTGTGAAAAGTCATTTGCGAAAAGATATCATTATAGTAAGATTCATACATGGGTGAATAAAATTGGTGAGAGAAAGCATTACCCACAATGAGAGAGCTATCATCACCATCATCTTTGGCATCTCACTGACTTTGTTGTCCTCAACAGGCGAAACTTCCTTGTCATCAACAATACAGTTGTCGGACTTTCCTGGTTCATCAATAAAATTATCAATCTCTTTTTCTGCAGAATCACCAGCATCATTGAAGTTAGGTGATGACTCTCCATCAGATTTGGAAGTAGGCTCAGCAACCACAGTAGGTTCAGCAATAGCAATATTCTTTTTGGACTTCTTCGCCTTTGAGACGGCACTTGCTTTGAGCTTCTTTCGCTTTTTGGGAGACTTAGCAACTGATGGTGAGCCTGCTCCACCAACTTCCTTTTCACCAGCAACTTCGGATGTGGCCCCCTTTATATTGGAAGATTTATTTGGACTTGATAAAACCCTAGTTTCAGTGGTTAGAGAAGGTTGTTGGTTTTCCACTGCCATGTTGAAATTTGCTGGGTTAGGGGGTGTCCTCGGTATTCCCGCTTTGACGATTTGACCTGCGAGAAGGCTCAGAAACATTCTTCTTCATCTTCACATATCTTTGTTTTATTCTCGGCATGGTATTAGGTTTTTTCGAAAGAATTCACAGAAAATCACTAGTAGAAAAACCATTTTTTATAACACCGTTTTTATAACGGTTTTGTTAAACC